GCAAGGTTGTGGCCCCTCCCTTAAGAGATAAAAGCCAGCTGAGAAACGGAAGTTCTTTGCAGAAAGCAAAGACGTTTTTGCACTCAAGCCTTGTGGACGTTTGGAGTATCTTGGTAGGTGTTTGGAGACTCTTTGTGTTTGAAATATTTCTTAGTAACTTTATGTAGTGTTCTTGGCAGCCTCGCACCACCTTGGCAAGGCTTGTTCTTATCAGAGACAATTAGTTGGAAACAGCCTTTTAACCGGGAAGGAATGGAATTCATAAAGAATCATTAAAAGGTTTTGCTGTTACCTCTGTTTCAGGTTTGTTTCCTTGGAATAAGGTTTGTGTCAGAACACTTACTGTCCACCCAGCAAAAGCAACACAAACAGAGGAAAGTTGTGTATGTATGTATGTATGTATGTATGTATGTATGTATGTATGTGTATATATTCATATTCCTTACTTTCATGCAATGCCCATCTTTACAGAAAATGTAATCCCGTGTTCTTATTGCCTTTGCATTGTGGGACCGTACCACAAAAAACGGTTGTAAAATTGGGCCCAATCTGTTTGGCTGCCTCGACTTATGACCATCATGACTTAATGACCAAAATAACAATCCTATCTGGGACCAAAAGCCGAGGATTGACTATATATCCATTTTGTCCTCTGCTTCATTGTAATTCTAAATTTTCTAGCGCTGCACTGCTCCATTCACTGTAATTATACTCCTTCCTCAGAAAAAAGTCGCAATTAATCAGGAACGTTTATTTTATTTTTATTTTATTATTTTTATTTTATTTTATTATTTTATTTTATTATTTTATTTTATTTTATTATTTTATTTTATTATTTCATTTTATTTACTGTATGGCATCTACAGAGGTCATGCAATCAAATAGGAACTGATTAGGTTTAAACACAGCCCACCTGTTCTAGATCTTTTGAGGGGGCAGGAAAATTCTCACTACCATTACCGTTTTATTCCAAATATAAAATGGCACCCTCATCTACAGTATATATTATAGCCATTAAAAATATTTTCATCTAAAAGGCAGAGTTCTGTTGAGCTTGTTGGGTTAAAGGCAGGGAACGTGACAATGAAGTGAGCAAAATATTTCTGGAAGTCAAGAGAGGAAGAAAACATAAAGTGAGATTCATCCAGAGATCACACCCCATGGCAGAGGTTCTCACAAATGTTTTAACACCACTGCAGAATCTGTCCCCTCTGCTTATCAATGTTCATCTCACAATATACACGTAGAATTGCATTTGGGTTACAAAACTGAAAGCAATAGAGAGAGGGAGGGAGGGAGGGAGGGAGGGAGGGAGACAGAAAATGAGAGCAAAGGAGAGATAGAAAGAGAGAGAGGGAGAGAGAGAGGGGGAGAGCAAGGGGGAGAGAGGGAGAGCAAGGAAGAAAGAAAGAGAGAGAAATGAAAGCAAGGGAGAGACTGAAAGAGAGACAAAGGGGGAGAGAGAAAGACAGAGAGAAAGAGGGAGGGAGAGGAAGCGGAGAGGGAGAGCAAGGGAGAGAAAAAGAGAGACAGAAAGAGAGATACAGAGAGAAAGAGAGTGAGAGAAAGAGAGAAAGGGAGAGAAAGAGAGAGAGAGAAAGAGAGAGTGAGAGAGAAAAGGAGAGAGAGAAAAAGACAGAGTGAGCTGGGGGGGAGAGAGAAAGAGAGAGAGGGAGGGGAGAGAGGGAGAGCAAGGGAGAGAGAGAGAAAGAGACAAAAAGAGATATACAGAGAGAAAGAGAGTGAGAGAAAGAGAAAATGAGAGCAAGAGACAGAGAGAGAGAGAGCGCAAAGCAAAATCAAGGAAGTTTCTATTTATATTGTCATAGTTTGTGCTTGGATGGCATGAACAGGCTGGCTAATGGCCTTTTCAGTTCAAGATCAAGGCAACTGCTATTTAAACGGTTATAAATAGAGCCACGGTAGCACCAGAATGACACAATCCGCAGCTGTAATTTGGACTCGCACGAGGCACCTGTGACCCTTATCATTTGTCAAAACTAATTTTGGTCTGGTTGTGTGTGTGTGTATTTTGTGTGTGTGTGTGTGTGTGTGCGCGCG